GTGGAACTTATTTAACCAAACATAATTCTCATCCATCAAGGAATAACAAGTGTAATGTCCACTAAAGCAAAGCTTAAGTATATAACACCAACAACAACACCATCAATCCTATGATTTTCTTCCAACTATTCGGTGTTATTTGGACAAGGGTAACCCCCAACTTCGGAGGTACTCTGTAATCAAATTTGGCAAGGGGAATCTCAACCCCGACCTTAAGCTCTCTGCAAATACATTAACGCAACCCCGAGGAGGGCTAGTTATTCTTTCCCCGGGGTAGGGCACAAAAATCCTCACCGAAGGCAGAATCCGGATTTTCTCCCGGAGCATCACCACGTCGGCATCCGTTAGAATACTAGGCTCGCCCTCAAAATCCACCGCAGGATCAGGCCACCTCCTCACCAGTCTTCTCCAATGTTCTTCCAGATCAGCGGCGTTCTCCTCTACAACATTATTTCCATCTTCGTCGTTCGGTTTGATATCGAGATGTCTCACCATCATCGGATCCCACCGATGATACTCGAAAGTTAATTCAACTAATTCTGAGTCATGGTACACCTCCAACGGAACCGACTCGGTACTAGAAGAACTCGCAACGGCCTTACCCTTTCCCTTCGACGCCATCGAACAAAAAGAAAAATGCAGAACAATGAAATAGATTAAAATCAACAACGAAGCTTACCAAGGAATCAGCGAACAGACAACCACGCACAAAGAACAAATCTCAAATTTGCAGAAAAATTTCGATAGCAGTTTGCAAGAATTCGAAGATGAAAGCGAAAGCGAAGAAAGTTCAATTAAAATCCTCAGTGCCCTATTTATAAGTCCTAATTTCTGACTGTTAGGGTTCTCAATTAAAGGCACGTGTAACCGACGCGACCTCTCATCTCAAACGGTGCAACCAAGTGGCCGTTATTTCATTAAAGTAGCCGTTATTGCATTTAAGACCATTACGGTGCGACCTTTCACACTATTCATTAAATGTCAGGCCGTTACGTCAATTCAGATTTTTCCAATGCTGCCCAGATCTAGCACAAAATTACGCCAAGTGTTCTCACCTCAGAAATTAATCTTCATCTCGGAATACACAAATCCACTTCGGTCATTTCGTACATACAAGCACATCTGAATGGGCATTTCCACTTTACAGCTTATTACCGAGTCAGAATCTCTATTCATTCTGCAGTACCGACGGACATCACTTCGTATGCCCGCCGATACTGGGGGCCTCTCTGTTATCACCCAACTCGGTAACCCGAAGTTATTAGCCTCGAACTGCATTTTAGATGGATTATTACCAGCAATGACATGGCCAACAGTTATCCTGGTTCGCATACCGAACCGGCCAAGCTACAGAAGACCGAGGTAATCCTCACAACCGAGGTCACCCCAAAAACGAAGTCGCTATGAACCGAGGTCACCACCTCCTAAGCTGGTGACAAGGCGCCTACGCGCCACCTTCACAAATCACGACATCAAGTGGGACCCGCTGACAATGTCGCCCATCAAAAGTAGCTTTATGAAAAAGACAAAGCACAAATCCCGATATGTACCCCAAAAGTTACTATAAATAGAAAACTCCTACTACTTGTACGGGGGATCTCCCGAACTGAATTTTATTAACATGAACGAAAGATCTCACTGCAGCTTTTCACCTCGGTTCACCTCGGACCGGGGCCATCGTTGAGTTTCAATTGCATGTTTAACGTTCAAATTACTCGATTGCATTTAACTTATCATATACACAACCGTTGTTAACAACCACATAACAATAGTTAGCCCTAGCCATCTTTAAACTATGGCTATTTTGTGATATTTTAAGATTTATCATGAGGTACAATCAAGCCATGCATGTAAAAATCCATAAGTTTCGATTTTTAGAAATTTAATGCCTTATTTTCGAATTTTTAGAAACATGCATGTTTAGGCCGAGTTTGCTAGCTTAAAAATCCTTATAAATCAAAATTAATATAAGGTTAAAACAGTTTCGTAAAATAAGTAAGGGTGCTCAGCCATCTAAAAGTCGATATTTAGCCCATTTTTGCACCACGAGCCAAAGTTTTGTACATGCGAGT